TGGATGAAGAAAATATTATCAACTAAATTGAAAATTTAATATTAGAACGCTGAAAATTCTTAGATTGGGTTATCAGAAAATCCGAAAAGATAAAAATGAAAAGAGATATGAATTTTGTTTGACGGTTTGTTTGGAGGAACGATTTGAAAGCAGGCTGAAGAAAATCGAGGGTAGCAGAAAGAAAGCAGAAAGACACACGTCCGGACCAGACGTACAGCCATTATTTTAATCTGAAACCGGCGTGGTCCACGGGTAACCCAGGGCCCTACGGTTCCTTACACCACCGTAAAACAAACACGTAAACAGGCAGCGTCATGTAAGCAGGTAACCAAATCCGTGGAGGGAAACCTGGTATCTCGATCATGAAATCAGTACGATTACATGGTCGAGTGCTAGAAGGGGACGTTGGACAGAGGATACAAGGGTAGAAAGAGAAAGAAGAAGTAGACGAAGAGGATAAACGAAGGGAGAAGGATGGCCTTCTGGATGCACCTGCCGGTGACGTCAGAAGGGACTTCTTGTTTGGTGCTGCACAGCCCCGGGGGTCACTACTACTGTTTCAGTTCAGCCTTCTTCTTCTTCTTCTTCTTCTTCTTCTTTTCGTCCTTTCCATGGACTCATCGAAGCACAAGCTACACGAACAAGACAGCCTGAACAGGCCATTATTTATATGCAAATGAAAAATTGTGAAACGGTGAGATATCAACCTTCTGGTGTTAGCTAAGAATCTATTGATACTTCGATCAGTATGTTGTAACTAGGATTTCTGTGACTGACAGGGTAATAAATTGCTAGGATGGTAATTAATCATTAATGAGTATTTGAATCCCTAGTCTTTTATCATATCTGCAATAATTTTTTTTATTATCCTGTACTGAATTTAAGAAATTAATAAATATCCATGAAAGAGTATAATAATTTTTGTATCTGAAAGGGTAAAAAATTGCCAGAGTGGTAATTAATTATTAATGAAAATTTAACAAATAAATAAGTACCATTTAGATCTCTTGTCTTTTGTTATATTTGTAATAATTTTTTTATTATCCTATACTGTATTTAAGAAATTTGATAATAAATATCCATGAAAGAGTATAATAATTTTTGTAACTGAAAGGGTAAAAAATTGTCAGAGCGGTAATTAATTATTAATGAAAATTTAACAAATAAATGAGTACCATTTGGATCTCTTGTCTTTTGTTATATTTGTAATTATTTTTATTTGAAAAATGTAATAATACATATCCATAAAAGAGTATAATTATTTCCAACTGTAGCAATAAAATGACAGACTAAGAAAAGGAACTTGAAATTAATCTCTTTCGCTCGTCTGGCTGTAAGCTACTGCTGGACGATTCACGAACCCAGTCATTTTAAGCTTATTATTTCAAATGTCCGCGAAAACGTTCGTGAACGGATCGAGGAGAATCAGAATTCCTTGGACGGAGTTTTAATCAAGATCGTGTCACTTCGTTCGCCTAATGCCACCAGCAACGTCAGTGTCGTCGGCAGTCCAACCTTCTATCTGATCAACATTCGTCCACCAACATTTGCATAATCTAATATCTCTCGGCCAGGTTGAAACGTAAAACGAAATATTTTATTTTGAAAAAAAGGTAATCATTCTTGACACCTTCTCCTTCTGAGAAATGGCGACTGAAAGAGGGTTAATCTTTCCCTTCAACGAATTTTGTTAACACTATTCTAAAATTATTATTTTCTAACATTGAATTTTCCACAATCTTAAAAATAATATTTTTTAATACTGAACTTTCTACACTTTCATAATTTAATTTTGTAGAAAATTCTAAGTCAAAGATTTTCTATTATACAATTCTAACGCTATATTTTTCTAATACTGAATTTTCTACACCCAAAAATTGATTTTCTGTAGTAAACTAAATAATTGCAATTAGCTGGATTATTCTTTCCCAATTAAGAGCGTGATTCTAAATCAGAACGGAATGGACAGGCTGAAATCGATTAAAATTCGACGATCGTATTTTAGAAACCGGTTACAAGGGCCATCCGGATGGAATAACGAGATTGTGAATTCGATTTTTCAAGGATGCCCGCAAAAGACGTGGACGAGACCGAGTCAAGTTGACGCACGACATTTTAAACTGTATCTAACAAAACATTCAGATGTTATCGAGCTAGTCAGACAACCGGTTTCTACAGAACGAAGAGATAAATAAATAGACAGAAAAATAGTGAAATTGCTCGTTTTCTCAGTTTTCATAAATCTTAGAGAATTTGAGAAATCAAAGAGACTCAAAGAATTCAAAGAATTTACATAGATTTTATGGAATTTTATAGAACCTCATTAATAAGTATAACACGCTTCCTTTCAATAATTTTAAAAACCTGTTTCCTTCGCATATTAATTAATTCACTGGGCTTATGAAGTGAAAGAAAAGAACTAGAATTTAATTGCTGGACTGCAAATTTCTAAGAGAATATTTCTAAAGAATTGAAGATAATTTCTGTAAACAGAGATTTTGCAATATTTTCAAAAAATCTTCTAAAATACCAATATTTAAGGCAATAATTGCCTTGGATATCGTTAAAAATAAATAAACGTTTCTATGAACAGTGAAAGAAGAAAAACTCACTTGTCGACCGTGGCTCAAACGTTCCTACAGACTTCCAGAGATGCTGAGGCGAGCAAATAAAAAAACAAACTGACGTTGCGAGAAGATAGCGGAGAAGAGGGAATGAGCAGGTCGCCTCTTCATGAAAGTAAAATCATTTCCTGTCGTAACTACGTGCGGTCTCCCTGTAGCTTTGACGAGCGAACCATGCTCGCCTCACCTGTAGCTCCCAAGTGAAAACAAATACCCCACCGATGTACCTGTCCTCGAAGAGGGCAGACGGTACCCCATGAAGTGGTGCATCGTGTTAGCCCTACGGGATTTACCACGACCTTCGGGAACCCTCCTGACCTCGACAGGTTCCTTCGGGATGGTGCACCGCACTTGCCGGATTTCAAAAATAACGAAAGAATTTTTTTTCCTAATTCACCTTTTAATTTTAATTAACCCACGACGGACCAAGAAGAGAGCTACCAGTTGAAAAATATTGCTAATATATTATTTTTCTTATCTAAAAAGTTTCCAAACATTTATTTACCTATTTTCACTTAAATCTTGAGGATCAGGATACTGAAGGAATAATTCTATTTTTTTTTAATTTGAAAAATAAATAGGCATTAGAAAATTCACCTGATTTCTAGTTCCGGCCAAAAGACTTGTTAATTCGACGAACACAAAGGGGGATAAGGAAAAAAGATGCAAAAAGTTATAAGAGAGACTCGTGTGCGGGGGTGTACGGTTCCCTGCAGGGATGCGGACAGGGCAACGTGGTTCTTCCAGAAGAAAAAAAAGGAAATGGAAAAAAGTGGCTGTGAGGCGTAAGTTAATGACTCGGAGGGGTGCCATGGCTATCCGAACGCGTCTAGACGCTCGACCCTAAATCTCTCCGGCACAGCGGAGTAATGGAGGAAGCTGGCGAACATTATTGCCGCGCGTTAATTACTATAACTTACAGCCCCTTGCGCCAACTTGTTGATTTAAACGTCGTCCCGTGCACGCTGAAGGATCCTCACGACGAATGTTTCATCTAATTGGACGAATTAATCGCCCCTCCAGCGACATAAATATTTCGCGTAAAAAGTGGCGGAGGGGGAGCTTCGAAGAATTTTTGCAGGATTTATTTAATCCGATGAATTATCGCCTTTGCGTTGGCGAAACGAGAAAAACATTTTTGGGTAATTTATTGTAAAACACATGGAATATCAAGAGTGACCCATCCTTCAATTCTTCTTCTAAAGGTGGTATTAGCTCCTAAAATTGACCAACTGAATAAAATGGTATGGTGTCAAATAAAAACGATGAAGAATTATTTTTAAAAGGGATAAAAATTGAATGATTATATAGCACAGTTAAATAATCAATTGGAAATTTTCTTTACACGACACAGATACGTTTCTTCCTTTCATATGTAAACATACCATCTTCTGAAAGGATGTATATATAAAAATTTCGTGAGCTTTTATCGAATGATAACGAGTTATGGCGACGTGTAAGGAAAGGTAAAACGTTGCCGTGAGCAAGCAACGAGGAGATAATAATTTGACGTGGGAATGCGTACGAACGTTCGATCTTAAATTTAAAGAATGACAAGCGGCTATAAAGAAAGTTGGGAAAGGAGTTCTCGTGACAATTCTGTTGATGTCTTATCAGATTACACATCAGATAAATTTAAACGAAAGAAAAGTCACTTTCAGTATTTGATGTTGCAAGTTTCGTCACGAAATCGTCTGCACTTAAATAAAATTAAAATTGACACTGAGATTTTGAGAAAAAAAAAAATCTTGGATCAAAAATGACCTTAGTTATTGCCTCCGCCCTTTCCCTATAAATCCCATGAAAAATATTTTGAAAAAACTTAAAAAAATTAATTATGTAATCGAAAAGTTGAGCTAAGGGTTGATTCACCCCGTTGGCAAGAGGAAGCCTAAACGCTATAGATGATGAAATCTCATCCCCGTCGAAGGAGAGACTTGTCGCAACAGGTTCGAGCCGGTCCTCCCTCGATCCGGGCAAACATATATCCACCCTTTTGATGTAAAAAGGGCCGAAAGGACCCCGGCGGCTTCGGCTTTCTCGGCTGGAAATCGGAGAGCATGGAAAAGGAAAGGAAGGATCCACCGAGAGGAAGAAGTTCTACGAGCCGAGGGGGTGATCGCGGGGGTGGGTGAGCGTAGATTCTTCTCAACGCAGCTCGGGGTGGGTTAGGTTGGATTAGTGTCGGAGGGTGTCCAGAGGAGGGAGAAAGAACGGCAGATGGTCGGCGTGGACCCTGACGTGGGAAGCTCCGAATTCTCCAAGTTCCCACAGCCAGAGTGCACCTGCCCTCCCCACTCTGTCACCCCGTGCTGCTCGAACGGGGCTATATAAGGTCCGGGGTTGCTCGTCTAAGGCATCATTCGCTCACTAGCGCTTCGTACCAAACCATTGGCACACGATATTCACCGAGTATCCAGAAAACTCATCCGAGCCTTGAACCGTTTCATCGGGAATCACCAAGTGTTTCGAGTTGAACGCGATAACACAGACACGATATTGTGCGGTTTCGCTCCTTTAAAACCGGTTGTGGTTTCGCTCATCGGCAAGGTAACCAGGCACAGCAAACATGGCCGCCACCACGATGAACCACGTGTTCGATTACGAGAACGAGCTGAACGACAACCTCTACAACCTGAAGATGTCAGGCAAGAACGGCGGCAACAAACGCGTCAGAAGCGTTTTGAAGCCGATACTGCGGCTGCTGAAGAAGAGAACCGGCAGGAGCAAATACGGAAAGGGACAGAAAGCGGTGCCACAGGTGGAGATATTCACCGAGGAAGTGGACAACCAGAACAACGCGAATGAGGCTCTCGAGAGGAGGCTGTTGGCTGGATTGCAGGACGCCGAGGAAGGAGCTGCCATCACCGTATGTTTGGACGGACAGATGACTGTTGTCCCGGTTGTACCTGGTCAGTGCTACGTCCCCGTTCACTTCGCGCACACCCACGCCGGCGACTTCTACTGGACCACCCTCAGCATGGCCGACAGTGACCTGTGCTACAAGGAACGAGCCTTCTCACAGTACCAGACGCCCGAGATGCAAGTCGCGTGAAACGATCGAATCTCCGCGAACGTCGTCTACCTCATACGCCTGCACTACCGAGACCTTGAGGATCATCAACTGAGAGACTGTCCACTGGTTGTCTTCGAAGAGGAAGGGAAAGTTCCAGCTTCCTGGCGCCAAAATACTGGCGAGGAGATTTTTTATACAACCCCCAAGACCAGCAGAGACTGCCCTTTAGATAAGATTCATTCGAAACTGTGATACGTAGATTGTAGTTTACAACGTTCCCTAACTGATCCTCCTTTCTTTTTCTAAGAAGAAAATCCTGGAATTTGTGTACGATCAGTTAAAAAGAATATTTTTTTTTTTTTTTGTCCATTTTTTCCATTTGTTTTTCAAACAGCGACACTGTAAATGAGTGGTCGCAGAATTGTGATATTTGTACCTAGTAGGTTTAATTGTATACATTGTGATATTGGCTTTAATGTCGTCGGTTGTTTACCGATAACACTTCCTATTGTCTTCCACATTGTTAAGAGAATAAATGAATAAATGTAATTGTAAGCATAATCAACCTGTCTCGTTATTCACACCTGTTCGTATGATAGTTTTAAGTTAATATAGATTCTTTTAAATTAGTACGAATATTTCCTTGAGAAGATATATTTTTAAAAGAGCCTTTTCAAGGGAATTCGTATGTTTCGATTCACCTGCGATCTTCGAAAATTGTCAGCCCTTCGAGAATATAAAGGAACAAAGACTTGGGGGCTTTGAAAAGGGTCCATTCATACCTAAAACTGGTTTGTGAAAGCCTCGAGGGTCTTTCCAGCCCTTCCTTTAGGAAAGATTCGAAAAATATCTTAAGATTTGACCGAAGATTCTATGGGATGCGAGAGGAAGATTTTGGGAAAAAATTTTTCCATCCTAATTGTAGGGGTTTGGAAAGTTTCTCATGATTTGAAAAACTTGAAAGGAAAGTTTCTTGACAGAAAATGATCCAGGGTTTTCAAGATTTTAATTATTTAAGTAATTTTCAGTGAGATATCAGTTGCATATTAGGGTGATTAAATACTCCTCCCCCTTCTGCGACCGTCCCATTCAATTATCCTTTTTCATACGGTTAATCAATGCACACACCTGTGATTCTTGGTACAAAGTGAAACAGGTTCTTGCGTAACTAAGAAACTGATTGGCTTCCCCCATTTTCGCGACTGTGTCGTACACGTGCATTAAATAAAATTAAAAATTCTGAAAATATTTTCAATTCTAAATATTGCAATTATAGTATCTTCCTCGTTATATAAATTGTATACAAAATGAAATATATACGAAGAATTTTATAAAATAAATATACAAAAAGTAATATGTTAATTGAAAAGTTTAAATTGTAGAAGGGATGCACACGTGTTGCCCATATGTGACAAGCACATGTTCGAAGGGGTGAATTAGGGTGCGTGAATTCGCATGATTTTCCGTGGCCAGTTGGGAGTAAGCCACCCTTGGAATAACAAAAGAATGCAACGTGTATCAGATACTAATACAATAATGCGAGGGGTGAATAATTTCGAGTATGGCCCATCGATGGGGTTAACCCAATTCTCTGTTTGTTTAACGGCCAGCAGACCGCGAATGTCCGAATGGCTTCAATTGGGGTTGAAAATGCAAATGTTAAGCACCGTGAGTTACAATGCTATCGTTTCATTGTGATTAAAGTGTATTAACATTGAAATAGAGCTCATTGATTTTTTTATATAAGGAGAAATGCAATGAAAATTAATTTAATTATTTTGAAATAAATTTTGTTAAATTAATAATACTTATTAGTCATTCTTTTCACCATTCTTTTTATAATTTTAATAAATTTTTATTGAATTACTATAAAAAAAAATGTGAACTAGCAAATTTTGTATAAAGATATAGAATTTGTTGTAAATCAAAGAATAAACACCACAGAAGAAATTGTAATGAAATGTTTATAATATTTTGGATAGAAAATCAAGGTGTTGAAAGGATAAAACCCTGAAGAGCAGGCAACCCTTCGTACAACCCTGCATTAGGAACCACGTTAAACCTGCACCCAATCACTTTCTCCATAAAACAAATGAAAAATATGCAACAAAAATTATCATTCAATTACTTCTACCTCTTCTAATTCTCGTCTATTTTCTTGTAATGTTTAATAATTTCAAAATATATCTCTAATAAAAAAAATAAAAGTACTTTAAGTAATTTAATTTTCAACATTGCAACAATTTTCACTTACGTAAGATGTTTTATCCAAAGGAGTACAAAATTTCATTTTCTCCATTTCACTGTAACTGTATACCACATTTAATTCCTGATTTCCAATTTATTATACTTCTGAAATTTTTTCATTTCTCGATTTCTACTGCAATAATATTTCCTTTCCTTTTAATCTCTCGATATTGAAAACATATTTTATAAACGGCACTTGTCGGTGAAGAGAAAAAGAAAAGAAGTTTCATTAATGTATTTAATGGGACACAAACTCGTTGCCAATATAAACGCAAATGTCCTTAAAGGAAATTATGTCAATCGTGTTAAGCTGAATTAACCGCGACACACCTCTTTCATGTTATCAACTGTAGAATATATTTTATTAATGACGGGAACTTATTTTCAAATTATACCTGCTTTCTGTTTCGTTCGAGTGGTTCCTTTATTTGTGGTAAATTTCCAAAGTGATCATCTTAAGTTTCCCACGTTACATAATTAAATAATATAATAAAAAAAAAAATGAAGAAATATTTTAAATAAAATTAAATTTTAAAATTAATTTTACGAAAGACATAATTTATTTTATAAGTACACTCACGATCAAAGTAAATATTAATTAAAATTTTCCTATACCATAATTTAGCTTAAATAAATTTAAGCTAATAATTTAATTAATAATGTAATTTTTATTAAATAAATTTGCAAAAATCCTAATATTCTCTTACAATATTTGCTTCAGAATTTTTCATTTTTTATACATGATACTTTTCCATACCACAATATATCAACTTCGTTTTTAATTATAGAATCTTTTCGAACACCCCGTATATTTCAAGGAAATAAACAAAACAGCCGTGTGAAATGTATCAATTATACAGCCTCTTTCCTCGTCGATCAGTTTAATCGGTGCCATTTCTGTCGGTGAAATTAATTCATTACACGACTCACCGTTCCCACCTTCCCTCTTACTCTCTCTCCATCGGCGAAAAGTATTTCCATCGTAACACGGTAAAACCTTCTCTTTCGAGTAATTGCGACGATTACGAAGGTGGGGTGAGAAATTAGTTGTTCGATTGGTATCGGAAGGAAAAAAAGGAGCGTATCCTTAAAGAATCCAACAAGAACGCGACTCTCTCAGAGTGTAAAGTCGGTCGACGCGTGAAACTTCTCCCGTTTGGAAATTGATTGTTTCCAGACGGCAGCTGTCGTTCGAGAATTTTGTCAATGTTGAATAAAAATCGCGAACGTGACGTTTCGACGTAACAGGTAACTCGATTTCGGTAAATTTGTAAATTACACGGATCGTTTGATACGAAATTGTCCGAGTTGACGAAATGTCGCGTATGCTTCAACACTTTCACCAAGATCCGAACTATCGAGGATCATTTTACATATTATTATACATTCGTCATGGATTTCTCGAAAAATTCTCGATATTTGCAATAATCGACGTATAAGCTCACTGACTATCATTATCCATCTTTAACGCGATAATTTCTGCATGCAGATAGTAATTGACATAATTTCCAAATAACATCTTTTTTTTAATGAATAATTATCAAATTAACACTGTATTAAATTAGAATTAACTTTCATCGTAGAATGATCAAAATTTGATAAGAAAGAACACCAATTTTACTTTGATACATAGTTTGTTGCAATCTGCAACCAGCGATTTTGTATTAAAAATATCGATGAAACTTTTACACAGCTATTTTTAGCAATCTTCAAGCTTTATATTGATGTAACATAAGTGGTGTTTCATGATACTTTTCTGTCATGTAATTGTGTCAGACTTCTTACCTTTCAAGATCGCTCAGTTGATATGGAACAATTTAATAAATTACCAGTCGTTGACGTAAATGCATATCATTTTCTTATGCTATTTCTGTCCCTCATTGACGTACATTTTTTTCCATTAATTATACTATTTCTAGTTGCCATTGACGCGAATTTACGTCGTTTGGTTAAATATTATTGACTAATAATACTGCTCCTTAAAGGGAGCATGGAATTATTAAAATTAAACTTACTTATTCATTTCCGTTTGGCAAATGTAGCAAAATGTAACAGTAAATGGGTAATAATACGATTCGAAGATAATGCAAATGGGAACGCGTACAGAAACGACGGGAAATCGGAATTAAAAGGTAATTACAGAATTGTTGAAATCGGATTAAACCGAGATACTTATATACGTTCTGTAAGCCGCATGTGTCACTTTAAGCTGCTACAAATTATACTTCTCTCCGCGATGTAATACACCTGTTCCATAAATACTCATGAAATTCGACTGCTCTTTATGGTTTTAATGCGAATTTATATGAAAGTTGTTTAATACAAATCTATAAATCGACTGCACATTTCTGTTTTTTACTCAAGTACAAAGTAATACTGTTATTTCAGCTTTGAGGAGAGTTTGGTGAGTTTAAAAAAGAAATAAATTACAGTTATCAGTCCCTATATAATGACTGACCTTTTTCCTAAAAAAGTAATGCGTGTAATTCTATTCGAAACAAAAAATATTTTTAAACAAAAAGAAATAATATGAAATACAAATTGGGACTCTCTCCATGGTCCGCCGTCCGAGAGTTAAAAAACGCATTGTATTATATTTAAAAAAATAATTACGTTTCAATTTTCCTATTTTTCTCTCCTTTTTCCCACAAAAATACTATTTTTAATACATCAAAACATAAAATCTAAATATATCATATACCCCAACTTTCCAATTTCAATTTTCTCTTCATCCTACTAAATTAGATATATAGCATCCCGAAGTAACAATTCAAAAAAAAAAAAAAAATAAATTGTATTACCAGCTTTCAAAATGAAACACCTACATATATAGAAATTGAAGACAAACAACGAAACATCCAATTATCACGCTCGGCAAGCCCGCGGGCGGGTCGTTGCCGAGCAAGAAGCGGATACCTTTCGATCCGCCGCTACTTTCTCAGCAGCGTTTCTCGGGCGATTTATGGCCGCGGGAAAAGCACGTGTCGCGGAATCAGCGTGGTTTCCACTCGGCTTGTGGAACGGTAATCGGCTCCGCCGCTCTCTATCCTGTGCCAGCGTCCGCTTTCGCGTACGTCGACGCTCGTCGCGTCGCGGCGCTCGTGCCAGAACGGTCGCGGTGCCCGCTCATTCCCACGGCCCCGAGAGAGCGCCGTATAAATACCATCGTACACGTGCTCGCGCGATGTAAGCGGCCGTGTACGCACGCGTGTCACGTGTGCCGTATGTGCCACGCCGCGTCAGGTATACACACCTACGGCGGACAGGTAAAACAAGCACGCGCTTACGTACACGCGACGCGTAAAAACCGTTTC